GTGCCAACTGCCAACAACACATACCTCTGACACATAGCTTGAAAATGTTATTAAAAATAAAACTAATCTGTTAGATTTTGATAGGTAATTCGTGAAATCTCTTAGAATCACATGTTTGGTTATAATTCCTACTTAATAAACCGTTGATTTCATGGTGCAGTTAACACAAATAACAAAACAAATTAATTGGAAAATAAAAAAATATTTTGGTGGTTATAATAAAAAAAAATAATATATGTTATTGTATATATCTAATGACATATTTTCTAAATAAAGGACATAGATACATTGTACGTTTCTTCAGATGTAGATACTACCAAATGTATGGTTGCATTGTCTTAATTTAACTGTCACCACTCCATCAAAACAAATTATACAAAACAAAGGTTTTAAATAATTTATTTTTTTAACTAAATAAACAATGGTAGAGAGGTATGAAAAAAATGTTGACGCACTTATTAAATCATTTCTTGAATTGTCCTCTATTATTCGTAATGATCTCAAAATAATATAAAATTTAAATTTGTATGACTAAATTATTTAATTATAATATATGATTATAGATTGATACTAATCATAGAATTAGTAAAGGGATGGATGTTGACCCAACTACCTTAAAAGTAAACTATGATAGAATTCAATGMAATTAAGCGTCATATATTGCAAGTGATACAAAGAATCTATGTGGGGTAACTGTATCTATCTAGTWCAGACGTACAGTTGAAAATACTGCATAATTGTGTATAATCACACTTTAAGATAGTATTGAATATTCAATTACTATTATATAATAAATAATAATAATTTAAAAAAATAACTTACATAAAACGATAATTTGAAATAATTATGAACTACAAACCTACGTATTGCATTGCAAGTATACAATATAATATATCTTTATCTTAAACATGTCTCGAATGACTCGAAATTCCAATTGAATATAAAATGCCACACCGTCATATAATATTTTTTCGGCAAGCAAATTTGCCAATGCTATCAACTGAAATTGCTAAAAACTTMAAAAATTATTCTTTCTATATAATATACCATATTTCCCTATGTAATAGTTAATGAAAAACTATAATAATTAATCAATAACGATTAAAATTTTAAATCCAAACTTCTCTAATTAACAWGAATGTATCTCAATGTAACAGTGTAATTAATATATTATAACAATACTTAAGTTCAATGCAATTATATTGATAAATATACTGTTCAAAAATGTAAACTGTTTACATTTATATACATTGCTATTAATCTTTTGAAGACTAAAATCCTCCCTGCTTTTTCATTTGAAATACTTAACTGCACATGTTGATATCTTCTGATGAAGTGAACAATGTTCTAAAAATATATTTTATTATTTTTTTATCATACAATGTTGAACTAGGTATACCAGTGGCGGCTCGTAGATGGGGGCGATGGGGCGATCACTCCCCCCCCCCTTCTAGAATCGTAATTTATTACCAATTTATAAGTTAAATATTAAATTTCTCATTTATATTTTAGTATAATATTGTCAAAAATAAAAATCGTGTTTCCTACATTTACACTAATACATATTATGAAAACATTATCAGATAATGGGAGTTTAAAAATAAATCATTCGACACTGTAGCTTCTGAGAATCGATAACCAATAACAATTTGCCGAGACCAGCGAGCAGCACATTCGATGCTTGGGCGATGTTAAAAGTCGCTCGTCATTACTATGGTTGGAATACAAAATCTAAGAAGGGGGAACACAATAATAATACTGCCGGCGGGGCGATGATTTTAATCGCCCGTTGACCGTTATGCACGGATTCCGAACTTGCGTATTTATTATTTACTTTGTGCGGTCGTAACTCTAATCAATTCTATCTATAAAAAAGTGTTGACAATTTAAAATATATATTATAATTTATAATTTATATGTATTAAACTATTGAACAGATTAAAATAAATTATTATTATTAATATTATTTGTGTACGATACTTTCCATAAATAAGCAATTTTATA